AAACCCTAACTAAAATTCTGATTCTTCTTTTTTTTTGCCTCCTCCGAGAGAGAGAGAGAGACTTTGAGAAGAATCGATTGAAGTTTAGAGAGAGAATTTGTAATGGCCATTGATAAGGTGAAGCTTCAAGAAGACGAAGTTAGAGCTGTTACTCGTTTCTATAAGATAATTTTGGGTTGGGATTATACACAACTTACAAAAGAGAACAAGGTTCTTCGTTAAAAACTCCTCCTTTTTTCCACTTTCTTCTTAAATCTTTGTGACTCTAAATCTGAAATTTGTCAACTTTTTTTTAATGTAATACAGAGGGAAAACAGGAAAGAATCTAAAGGGAAATTGAGTGTTGTAAAGAATACTTATAAAGATATTGATGATTATTTCAATACTTTTGAACCATTACTCTTGGAAGAAGTTAAAGCTCAAATCTTGCAGAATGACAGTGAACAAGGTTAGATTTTGAAAGAAAGTGTCAATCTTTTTTTTTTTTTTTAACTTTTGTGTATAATTTTAGTTTCTGAACTAGTGACATTGTCCTCTTTAGCATCGGAGTGTAAAATGAGATTGGTAATGGAGTGTAGTGAAGCTGATGGGTTTCACTTTCTGCTAGTAACTTACGAAGGTGACGAAGATGAGTATTTTGCTCCAAATGATCTTTTATTGTTATCAAAAGAAAAGGTACATAGGAGATTGTATTTATGACTTAGTCTTTGTTTGTTCGAATGTTGGAATCAGTTTAGAGATTTAAACTATTTTGCAGGTTGAAGAGGAGTCATTTCCTTTATCTTATGGGTTTGCTGTAGTAGAAAATCGTCAACACAATCTTCTTCGTCTTCGGATGTATTTAGCTGAAGACAAAGATACTACTAATTCCTCTAGAACAAACTCATTTATACAATCTCTCTCTAATATTCGGTCTCTAATTACATCGTCTGCCTCCGCCGTAGACAAAAGGGTATACAGTTTAAAGGTCAGTTCTTATGACACTAGCTGTTATATCATGTGTTTGTTGTATACAATGATCTTTCATGGTATGTTTTTTTCATTTTTTTTTTGTAGTTATGTGGTTTATCGACGATTATTCGGGAATATATAGCACTACGGTCAGTCAGTTCGCTACCTTTCAAGGATTTTATCTTAAATGCAACAGAACAATCTTGTGGTTTTGGAGATGACGCATGGAAAATATCTGGACCTCTGCATGATTACTTTAACGAAAATCTTAACAAATCCCAAAAGGAGGCGATCGATGTATGTCTCTCGCCGTGTAGTTACTTTCTATATAGACTTTTACAGTTTCCCTTAACACAAATTTGGGCTTCACAACCTTATTTTGCAGGTTGGTCTGTCAAGAAAATCCTTTGTCTTAATACAGGTTGACTTCTTCATCTAGTTGTTTTTCAAATTGCATTGACAAGCAGATTAATTTTGATTCGGATTTTAATGACTCTATCCTTCTTTTAGGGTCCTCCAGGTACTGGGAAAACTCAGACGATTCTTAGCATTCTTGGTGCCATTATGCATGCGACTCCAGCCAGAGTTCAGTCTAAGTATGATATCCTCCTGATGCCAGTTAGCTTTGTGCAGCATCAATTCAGGAATTATGTTTTCTAATGCTTCTCGTTTTGGTGGATAATCCTTTGTTTTTTCATCATAGGGGTGTAGATCATGAAGTTAAACGTCGAATTCAGATGACCATTGAGGAAAAGTATGGTTTTGCTCCATTTTAAGATCTTTTAAATATTTCGAATATCAGTTCTCGGATATCCAGACATAACGATCTGGAAAATGTTACTATTAACTACATCATATGGTGTTCCCTTTTGGTGAGCTTATCTCAGTACTTCTTTTTTCTGCAGATACAATCACTGGGGACGAGCTTCTCCTTGGATTTTTGGTATCAACCCCCGAGATGCTATTATGCCTGAGGATGGTGATGATGGTTTTTTTCCAACCTCAGGCAATGACTTGGTAAGTCAGGAGATTTTATTCTGATACGCATAGTAACCCCACTTATCCTATTCTCTTTTGTGTTCAGAAACCGGAGGTGGTTAATACGAATAGGAAATTTAGAATACGTGTACTTGTTTGTGCTCCATCAAACTCTGCACTTGATGAGATTGTGTTGCGGCTTCTGACTACGGGTATGTGGTTTATCCCATACATTGTTTCATTATTTGAAAGTTGGTATTGGTCTTATATTATATCGTTCTGTACTTTCAGGTCTCCGAGACGAAAAAGCTCAGACATACACACCCAAAATAGTACGAATTGGTCTCAAGGCGCATCACTCCGTCAAGTCAGTATCACTGGATCACCTTGTACGTATCTAGTAGCTTTTACACTTTGATTGCTTTCGTGCTGGGGTAGTTCTGGTTGCTTAATTTATCGCTTTTTAAAAAAGAATGTTCAATTTCAAATCTAACTAGTATCATCAGATCAGTAAAGGTATCTTTGTTTTGGTATGATAAACAACAAAATTTCAAAATCTTGTCCTTGAGTGCTGTTCTGAGAAACACTCTTTTGCAGGTGGCACAAAAACGTGGCTCAGCCATCGATAAACCGAAACAAGGAACCACAGGAACTGATTTAGATAGTATCCGCACTGCAATTTTGGACGAGGCTGCGATTGTATGGAGAATTAACTTTCATATATAATTAWAGTATAAGTTAAATCTATTTCTTTTTTTCGTTCTCTGCATATCCACTTCTGTTTCTTTGCATTTTCAGGTCTTTGCCACCCTTAGCTTCAGTGGGTCAGCACTTCTCGCGAAATCTAACCGTGGTTTCGATGTCGTTATAATAGATGAAGCTGCACAAGCTGTAAGCCTTTTCGACTAATGCTCGAATGTTTTGCTAAGGTTTACGTGCACTATAAATGTCTAATGGTTTCACTGGTAAAAGTGGATATAGAGAGGATGCTTTATTTTTGAAACTCTAGTTGCATAATGCATTTTTTTTTGTATGATATATATCTTCTCCCTGACCTATGTCTAAGACCTAGTTTTGTTTCATAGCCAGAATATGTCGTGTATTTCAAAAGTATATGTTGTTTGCTATGTAAGTAAAGTTTATGCAGGTAGAGAAAATATTAATGCTTATATGTTACTCAGAATTCATTGCTAATGAAAATTCCTCTTGTGTACTTGTCCAGGTTGAGCCGGCAACTCTTATCCCTTTGGCCACTAGGTGCAAACAAGTGTTTCTGGTAAACATCAAATAGGATTTACCTTCACGTATCAACATTGCAATAATTTTCCAAGTAAATATAAATAGAGTATTAGCTTTTAAGGATTAAGCATTGAGAATTGAAGAATAGATAGTTTTGTATCTTGTAACTGTAGATGTGAGTGGCAAGCACAACACAAAAAGTTAATGTGTTAATGATTAATATGATTAGTTAAAGGCATCTTCATTAGCTTTTGGTGTCCTTATTACATATCTATTTTTATCAGGTAGGGGATCCTAAACAACTCCCAGCTACTGTAATCTCAACTGTTGCTCAAGATTCTGGGTAAGTTCTTGTCTGTTTATTTGTCTCTCTCGTGTATACTGTATCAATACTATCTGATTGCTGTCTTCCCTTTCTTCAATAAAGCTACGGTACAAGCATGTTCGAGAGACTTCAAAAGGCTGGATATCCAGTAAAAATGTTGAAGACCCAATACCGGATGCATCCAGAGGTATGAAAATATTCTCTCTGGCATCCACTTCAGATAGATTCTCAATGATGTCAGATTTCTTAAGAATTGTCATCGGTTATTTCACAAGGTTCTCGACCAGCCAAAGGTTCTAGTTATTGCTTTGATTGTTGAATCACATTTCACTTTTTTTCTTTGGTTTGAAAATTAGATAAGAAGCTTTCCGTCGAAGCAATTCTATGAAGAGGCATTGGAAGATGGATCTAACATTGAAGCACAGACTACTCGGGACTGGCATAAATACCGTTGCTTTGGTCCATTTTGCTTCTTTGATATACATGAAGGGAAAGAGTCTCAACATCCAGCAGCAACTGGTTCTCGAGTAAATCTAGACGAGGTGGAATTTGTTCTTCTTATCTACCACAAACTCGTTACCACATACCCGGAGCTGAAGTCAAGTTCTCAGCTTGCTATTATTTCTCCGTATAACTACCAAGTAAAAACTTTTAAAGATCGGTTTAAGGAGATGTTTGGTGCAGAGGCAGAAAAAGTGGTCGATATCAACACTGTCGATGGGTTCCAGGTATTGATCTCATCCCTTTCTCACATCATACCAATTTCAAGAGGACTGTCTGGTGCAAAGTTTTCATGTTTGTCTTCTTCTCGATGAAAAAGGGAAGGGAGAAGGATGTTGCAATATTTTCATGTGTCAGAGCTAATGATAAAGGAGAAATCGGTTTTCTCTCTAACTCTCGGCGGATGAATGTGGGGATTACACGAGCTAAGTCTTCCGTATTGGTAAGACATCGAAACGATTCTCTGGCTTCTTTCTGCATATATTTATACTGTCTCTCTGGTTCTATCTCACTGATACATTTCTCCATTGAAACTTTACTTTATCAGGTTGTTGGTTCAGCTGCAACATTAAGGAGCGATCCGCTCTGGAAAAACCTCATAGAAAGTGCTGAGCAAAGAAACCAATTATTCAAAGTAAAAACTTTTTCTTTCCTTTTGTGTTCTTTCCTTTTCTTTCTGCAACATAGCCAATTGAACTATATGGATTGATGTGTAGGTATCAAAGCCATTGAGCAATTTCTTCAGCGAGGAGAATTTGGAGACGATGAAAGTAACAGAGAAAGACATGGAGATTCCTGATGCACCAGGTTATGAAGATGAAGCTCTTCCGGTGGTAAATTACGGCGGA